ATTTTTTCTGGCACCAAATTTTGCTTTCCAGTGAATTAAAATTTGATGAATTTCTTTACTTGATTAATACATCCAATGTTGTCACTGTAGATTCTTTACAGTGCAAATCTGTATTTAATTTACTTGCTCAGTAGTTGAAAATAACAATGGCACAGAACACTTGGTTAAAATCGAAAAACATTACATAGAAACCCTAATTTTGTAAATATTCTCTGTATCTAAAATCAATCTATAATACTGAGCTATGATATAGTTTAAAGAAAAAGAATAAAGTTAAAATGACATAAGGTCAAAAAGAAATGAGACCTTGTAAAATGCTAAGGACAAGAAGAACAACTCTTAAAGCTAACTTTGGAACTACAAAAAGTTAAAAGGATATCTGTATGCTGCTTACAGAAGAGAGTACAATCTCAACAGATTAAAAACGAACTGTTCTACTGTGGTATTCTTTTAAATTTTATATTAACAGAAGGCAAAAGTTAATTGTAGTTTTTCATGTTCAATGTTAAATTTGGGACTAGAAATTCAAATCATTAATGGAATAAAAAAGAATAAGGGAAATCTGATACTGTACCAAAGGACATGTAGAGAAAAACACATAATTTTTATTTGAATACAAATACAACATGAATAAAAAAAATGGATGTTGTATTACTATCTCTTAGTAAGACAGTAGCATGGAAATAAAGGAAGGTAATAGACTCCCTGTGAGACTTTCCAATCATATTTGGAGTATATCACTGTTTGTTCTGGAGACTCAATGTAGTACTGGGTGCTTTTTGATAAGAGAGAATAAAGGGGAAAAGTCTAGAATTTATCATGAGAATTTAAAAACAAAAAAATTTGGTCTAGAAGAGGGATAACTTGGGAGAGGTGGCTGTGAGGAGCACATTAAATGCTTTTTCTGATGTGAATAGCTGGCATATAGAAAAGGTGTTAGGGCAGAACTAATGTATTAATATTTAAGGACAATAATTTTAATTTTTTCCTAATGTATATATTGTGAAATAGTGAGACCTTAGGACTAGAAAGTGTTCTCATCAAAGACATTTGTTTATCTGTGTAGAAATTTCTCCATGGGATCTAAGAGGGTAGAACACAGAACCTCTTAAAATTTGAATTTTTCTTTAAATATCTTTTTAGTTATCAATGTATCTTTATTTTTATGCGGTGCTGAGAATCCAACCCAGTGTGTCACACATGCTAGGCAAGCGTTCTACCACTGAGCCATAACCCCAGCCCCCCAAATTCAGATTTTTATCATTTCAGTCTTAGAATTAGGGTACGGCTGTTAAAAGATGTCTAAGTAGAAGGTGTAGTGTAAGCTATGCTAGAAATATTCTCTTGCTCCCCTCCAGTCCAAATAGAATCCTTTTTAAATACAATTCTTCCATTAGATATCTAGATGATTAGCTCTTGCATACTTTTTGAATATTTCAAGAGATGTATAAAATGGAAATATCTTTAGAGGACACAATAACATATATAAATTAGCTATTGCTTGTTGAGAAAAAAGACATGAATAAAATACATAGTCAAAATAAATAAGGTCCCGATAGGCACAAATCTGTAGCTAGACAAAATGCACAAACTGGGGAAACAGTAATTCTTTAATATACTACTGAAGATCCTGAAGCTTTAACTATTGCTTCTATGAAGATATGGTCAAATTTTCCAATATATCTCTATCATTACAACTTATAATTAATAAAATTTTTGAAAGAGGTCACTGATGAAAAATATATAAAAATTATTTATTAAAACAGAAAATTTCTGCATAGCAAGTATCTGTAGACATTTAACAAGATCATCAAATTTCAGAAGGTTTATAAAATATATCAGGTTTTTATATACAAAGTAATTCCATATAAGTAAATAAGCTAACTTTTGGGTGGATCCTACTCAATAAAACATACTATGATATTAAGTATGTTTTCATTTAGTAATATTTGTTAATTAAAACCAATAGATTTTATTTAGATAACTACAGCTAGAGCTAAACAAGACTTTACTCTGAAACATCATCATTGAAAAATCCCGTGTATTTTGATTTGACAATTTTAACCTATTTCGGATTCCCTCAACTGATTACTTCTTGCTTTGCTACCCTCAGCAATAATCCTATTACCATTTTTTCCTCATTTTTTTACAGTGAAAACTTGTATTTCCTCTTCTACATCCCATGTCCAAATAATTCTTGAATTCTTTCACTATAAGAGAAAGCTTCATATACCTTTTTCTTTTCTATTGCTATTACTTTAGTTCATGCCCTAATCATCTTGAAAGTACACTGCAATTACATAATTAAGAGAATACTTCTAATCTCTCTCTCTCCATGAAAGCTCTCTTACAAACTGGTCCATAAGAACTTTTCTTAAAGCATGCATTCTTATCAAGTAGTTCCCTAGTTCAAAAACCTTCAGCAACTCACAATGAAACCATAGAAAAAGGCTAAACTAATTAACAGGGCATAAAAATCTTCTGAGATCTCAATCTATGTTTTCAGCTTTATCTGTTAGTACTTCTTTCTATAGTCATTATTATTCAAGCTACCACTGTACTATACATTATCTAAGGATATTTTATGTTTCCAATTACTGGAATGGCCTTCCTCAGTTTTTTCCTAATATATTATTGCCCATTTCTCAAGGTCTAGGCTTAAAGGTCTTTTATTCAATATGATGTTTTCCCTCTTTCTATTCTTCCTTATTCTTATCCTCTGTTCTCTCATGGGACAACTTGCTCCCTTACCATTTACTGCATTAGCCTTACATCAGAGTTTAGTTTTACATATCTCTTCTACTTAGAATCAAAGACCGGGAATGGGGTTGTGGCTCAACAGTAGAGTGCTCGCCTCGCACATGTGAGGCCCTGGGTTCCATCCTTAGCACTACGTAAAAATAAATAAGTGAAATAAAGGTATTGTGTCCAAAAACATTTAAAAAAAAGAATCAAGGAGATTTCAAGAAGATGACAACAAAGACTGCAGTAGATAGAAAATAATCTGTTAATGCATTCTGATTTGATTACCTTACTATATAATATATAAAGTAGATATACATATATAGAAGGATTTGGTCTAGGGGTTACTTATAGTCTCAAAATCAGAAAGGTCTTGTACCAGTATTTGTTTGCATTTCTTCATGGGGATGATGATAACATTTTCTTCTCAGAATAGCCCAGCCGTTTTCTAGTGTGGGTAAACTCATCACATTGATTTCTTTCAATACAGAGGAGACAGATAACTGAATATTCTGTGTTAAATGGAACAAATTTACTCAATCAGTGAGGGCTACAGCCTTCTTTCCTAAATGCTTTCATGTCATGGGGGCCAGTGATTGACTAGGTGAGGAGAGAGTGGGGAACAATCTCCCTGTACCTAAATGTCTCTGGGTGGCATGGGGTAGCAGCAGATGCTACAAGCTACTCACTGCACAGCACTGGCCCTTTCCTTCTTTCTGGCAGAGCAACATTCTGCCTGAGTGTCCTCTCTACCAATGGGTTCACTTTGTGAAGTTCAGAGATAATTCTTGATTAAGTAACTCATGGGGTAACATTCTCATTCCCAGACATTTTTGCAGAATGTAAGACTCAATACTGGTCAGTGAATTGTGAAAGGGAATTTTCTAGAGAAGTGACTTCATTCTTGAAAAGATACACAAAGCACAAACCATGTTTTCTAGAGTCTGAAGGTAGTATACTTAAATTCCTGGCTCTTATCTTACAACAGGGTGCCATCTTTTGAACACTACTGACTCTCTGAGGGCTGGTAGGCAGAAAGAATGAACCAGGTATTCTGATAGTGTCACAGTGCTGGGGTCACTCTACTTTAGAACTTTCATTGTGTGAGAAATATATTTCCTGTTTTGTTTAAACCAGCTGAACAGAGGGTTTCTCTTAGTGTCCCTGGAGAACCATACAGGATTTCATGTCTGCGTCAGGCATCTTGTGCAGGTGGCAGATGCTAATCCTCATTAGGGGTTTAGGGCTAAGCAAATTATTTTTTGTGCTGATTTGTTGCTAAAATCTAAATCTCTAACTGTGGATCTAAGTAACCATCACTATATCTTTAAAATGCACTGCACTTTGCCTTTGCAACAATATCAAATTTTGAAGTTACTGATGTGTATTGTATTCACTATTTAAATGCTCTATGAGGGCAGTTTATCTGCTAGGAATATTCCTATACTTATGGTATCTAGCACAGGGCTGGCACATGGGTGTTCAGTATAAAGATTCTCAGTAATGTTTATGAAGTGCATGGAAGAATGGATAAATGAATATAGAAAGAATATCAAAAACATTCTGCTTTATCTGTTCCCGATACTTCCATTGTCCTGTCTCCTTACCAATTCTAGACAGAAAAAGAGAAAGAAATATATCTCTATAGCTGCTATCTGCTCTTTCAAACTTGGTGGAGAAACAAAAAGGAGATGATTCTCAGAACCAATGTATAAAATATTTTAATAAAGGAAAAACTCCAAACCAGGCACAGTGGTACATGCCTATAATCCCAGCGGCTTGGGAGGCTGAGGCAGGAGGATTGAGAGTTCAAAGCCAGCCTCAGTAAAAGTGAGGCACTAAGGAACTAATTGAGACCCTATCTCTACATAAAAGTAAGAAATAGGACTGGGGATGTGGCTTAATGGTCAAGTGCCCCTGAGTTCAATCCTTGGTACCACCCCCCCCCACACACACAGAAAAAATAAAAACTCCAATCAATTGTTTTTTATATTGCTTATTAGAACAAAAAAATACTTTAAAATTATTCAGAACCAAATGTTTTTAAAGGCTGAAGGAAGGTCAGGAATAATTTAGTATAACTCAGCTAAGCAAAGATTTATCGAATAACTCTCTCAAGTGCTCCTTTTGCCCTTGAGGAAACTGAAAGTTACTGTGATCAGTATTAGTCTTCTTATATGCTGAAATAAAACAAAACAAAACAAAACAAAAAACAACTAAATCCAAATGACCATATTCACCAGTAAAAAAAAGGATATTTTCCTGGTAATGCTGTTCCAACTCGGTAATCAGTGTAGCTCTTGTTTGGGTGGAAGTTGAAAATAAAAAGAAGACCTGCTCTCTCAAAAGCTATAATCTTGTTTCCCTCATGCTTTTCACTCACAAAGGCCTGCAAGAATTAACATGTTACATTTAAAAGACACCTAGATGTTGCCACTATTATTTATAAAAAATTTTTTTCTTTCCTAATAATATTACCAATTATTAAGTCAAAGATGAAAATTCTAGCACTGTATATTTTTTGAACGTTTAAAATTTTCACCAGCTACTTGGCAACTCCTACCTAACAAAAAAACAAAAGAGGATTAGGATTACAGTTTAGGTTTTAAGTAGAAACATGGCACATGAACTCCATTTAAAGTATTTATAAGTGCATTTGAAGACTTTTGTGTTAGTTCCCAGATTAATGTGGTAAGGTACATAAAATCGCTTTTCCAAATTTATTACTATAACATTATCTATTTATTATTATCTATTATCTATTTATTATTACAAAATTATCTATACTATCTATTATAGTTATCTCCCAAATTTTACATTTTTACACAACTTTGACAGATTCAGTGGCAACCTGTAGTACAATGCTTTGTATTTTTGTTAATCAAAAGGTCTGAAAGTAAATTAAATCTGTAAACTCCCTTATTTTATGCATCATGTATTTATAGTTGGCAGCCAGAGCTTCTGCTTTTTGAACACTACCTTCTGCCCAACCGCAGCTTTGAGAGGACTTTATTGCCATGCATATCAGCAGTATCACTGTTGGTAATTTAGAATGTGAACTAAGGCTCTAGAGTAAAGAGTGTGCCTTTTGGTATTCAACATTGTTCCTACTGAAAAGGAGCATCATTTTGCTCTCTCTTCTGGAAACAGCATTACTAATAAATGTGATAAGGGCATTTGTGTCATGTAGCCAATCTTACTGAATATATAAGTGCCTTTGTTCAGCCATTAACAAAAAGAATCATGGACACCAAAGTAAAAACACATCAACAGTAATTTCAAACAGCACTAATATAAAGTAAGTGGATTATAACTAACACATACTATATGCTAATTTTTGCAAGGAAAAAAAGCCTGTATAAAATTTGCACCTCTTAATTACATTTTCTAAATCTTATTGAAAACTGAGACTTTAATTCCAGAGGAGAGTGAGGCTCATAAAAATACAAAACAGCACACAGGTATAATGGCATCTATTGAAATGACAAGTTAGAGACCAGTAAAGAGGAGGAAAAAAAGAATAAAGAAATCTACATGTTTTCAAAGTAGTTTCTTTATGACAGCATAATTATTTATATAAAGAAAAACAGTCAAAACAATTAAGATGTTTCCACAGCAATTTTCAAAGTGGGTTCCATGCAGAGCTTTTGTCATCTATTTTAACCAACTGAAATAAAAATTACTAAATTTAAACAACAACCACTACCTAACCAGGAAAGTAAGCAGGACATTATGTTTAAGATTTTCATTATCTATTGGAGAGATTTCAGTGACATGTTTTGACAACCTGAAGTATGTCACAGGGCACTACACACTGAATAACAAAGTGCTGTTTAGAAGATCTGCATATAGATTTAAATTGATTGCCATTCTAAGCATGTATTGCAATGGTGACTAAAACATCACATTTAGAAAGCACGTACCTGTGGAGCTGAAAGCCAACCACATCTTTCTTCCAATCTATTCATATCCCTGTCAAAGTTATTTAGGAATTTATAGCGAAGAAGGTCATCATCAGTTAAATGAAACTGCCTTCTGGCATAATGGTAACTCTCATTATTTCCTTTCCTTGGGAAGTCTAACCATTCAGGATGCCCAAATTCATTACCTGTATATGAAAAAAAAACCATAAATATAACTTACTAATATTAGCATTTCTTACTAAGATAACTACATAATTACATGTTTTTAAAGACAGTTTAGGTTATATGTGACTATCATTGAACCCAGTAAATGATGTACCTATCTGAGTAAAAAACAGCATGATCTAGAGCAAAAAATACTACATTTGTACTCTAAAGCCTAGGTCCAGCTTTAGTTTCGACACTCATTACTAGCTGCACATTTCAGTTTCCTCATGCACAAACGAAAGCAACTATATCCACTACACTTATATCATCTCTGAAATAATCTAGGGGATCCCAGAGGAATTTGTGAAATCTCTATATCTGTAATCTCAGAAATCTGTACAATGCTTTACAATTTTCAAAGGCTTTATATATACATTATATTTTGATCCTCAAAGGATCTATTATATTCATTTTTAGATGATAAATCCTAAGCTCTGGGCAGTTGAGAGATTTGCCTAACCTCACACAGAAAATACAAAGTGGAAAAGAGTCATTAAAATTTACTTTTTCTAATTAAAATCAGTAGATGTTTCTTTCTTTCTCTCATCATCCCCCTTTTGCAGTCCTAGGAACTGAATACAGGACCTCATGCATGCACTCTCCCACTAAACTATATCTTCAGCTGTGTTTTGGATTTTATTTTGAAACAGGGTCTTGCTAAGTTGCCCACACTGATCTCAAACTCAAATCCTCCTGCCTCAGCCTCCTGAGTAGTTGAAATTACAGGCATATACCACAACACTGGGCTAATATACACAGATTTTTTTTAACCATAATACATTAGGCAAGTTTATTGTAAATTTGGGGTTCAACAGAAATCCAAGACATTACTTGATTTTTTTTTTTTTTTCAGAGAAAAAATTTGTTACAATTAGATGTACATCTTTAGTTTCAAATGAGCTTGTGTGTGTGTGTGTGTGTAGCTTGGGAAATTCTGTTGGGAATCCACTTTGTATTACTTCTCATTATGTAATAAGAAGTATAAATTCAATAAATTTTAAAATATAATACATAGACTTAATTCTGAAAATTAAATTTACATATTAGTTACCTAATAAACTGACTATTAATGTTTTACCCAAATTGAATTTCTACTTTAAGGAATTTTCATGGCAAAATTCAGAATTCTTAAAATTTACTTATATATACCATTTTAATATTAACAATTTTGTAAGTCCCAAATTTCCCCAATGCATAAGAAATTATCATAGACAAACACAAGTGTATCTTATTTCAAACAAAATAGTATTAATATTCTTTTTTTTTAGAGAGAGAGAGAGAGGGAATTTTTTAATATTTATTTTTTAGTTTTCGGAGGGCACAACATCTTTGTTTGTATGTGGTGCTGAGGATCGAACCCGGGCCGCACGCATGCCAGGCGAGCGCGCTACCACTCGAGCCACATCCCCAGCCCCAGTATTAATATTCTTATAAATAAAAACCAATAAGCTAGTATATAATTCAAAATTATTTATTATAGTGTTGCTTTAAATAATAAACTTTGCTAAGAATTCCTGCAATTTTTGAACCAGAAAAAAATAACACCTAAATAAATAGGTCTGCAGAAATCTCATGAAAATTAATCTGCAATCATTTTGCTAAATTCTAATATTTCAGTCTAAAGGACAATATTTCTTATGAGGTGCATGGTATGACAAAGGAAAGAACCAAATTTCTCACTCTGTGAGTCTATATTTATTTTTTCAGCTACTTTATATCAACCCAAGGAATGTCCTTCTGCCACATTTAAGAGTCTTGCCTGGGTCTGGAGCCTGATTCACATCAGTCCAAGGTATACCCCACAGCATAGCTTGCTCCATCAACCACTCAACTGGCAAAATAATGTAATTCATAATTCATAATTATAGCCTTCTTTACTGATAATGAAGGGACTGTCAATCTAAGTAAAAGGATATGTCCAAGTACTAATCTGGTGTGAGTGAGACTTTGACTAATGGAAAAAGAAGAGACTTCTATCTCATGAGGCAGCTAAAGCATATTACCCTACTGTTATGGTTTGGATATGAAGTACCCACCCAAAACTCTTGTGTCAAAAGTTAGGAGGTAAAATGACTACATTGTGAGAGCTATAACTTAATTACTCCATCTTATTTTGAATGGACTTCCTGGGTGGTAACTGTAGGTAGGTTCAGCCAAAGGAAGTGGTCCCTAAGGACATGCCATGTAAATGTTCGTCTTCCCTGTGTTCCCTTCCCCACTGTTCTGTCTTTGCTTCTGACTGCCATGATGGGAAAAGCTTCCCTCAACCATGTCCTTACCCCATTGAGGGGCTGAGCTATATCATCTCTGGCCCAATGCAACAGGGTCTGCTATCCAGGGACTGAGACTTCTGAAATTGTTAGCCCCCAAATTAATTTTCCTTCCTCTGTGGTGTTCTTATTAGGTATTTGGTCATAGTGATACAACTACAGAGACTAACATACCTATAAATAGATTCAGGCTTTCTATGGGCAAAATACATTTAATTTAGTATGGCCATGGGTTTCTGGGTTGATTCCAATATTAATAAGCAATAGACTTTTTTCCTGATGAGAGTGTCGCATCATATCCTCATGTTCACAAAATAAACAGCAACAGATGTCTGATGTCAGCCTATTAGGTTGCAGGCACTATTTGTAAAAAGCATTGTACATAATTAACTATTTCCATTTTCAACAACTCTGTGAGGTAGTTACTATTATTGCCCCAATCTGAGATATAGAAAGGTGACACAGTGATTAAGTAGTTGGGCCTATGAATCCAACCAGTCTGCTTTTTAACAGCCTAATATCATATTACTCAGAAGTAAATGCTGTGGAAATAAAGAACCCAAAACCAACAACCTTTCATATATGGGGGAGAATTCCAAGCTAATGGAATGACATTGCACTAATGGATTAGAGTCAGAGATGAGATGCAGTGAAGAGTTTGAATTAAACACCACAAATAGGGTCTGTGGTAAAAAGAGGCAATACATTCAGGATGAGATGAGATTAGAATGAGTGTTACAAACTATGGATCTCATATTGTAGGGAACAGGGAACCAAAACTATTGGCAAGTGGAGGACTGAGAAGTTTAGCGTGTTTATTATTAAAATGCCTGCTACAGTTTGGAAAAAGAGAATGGATATTGGAAAAATTTGAATGGTAGAAAACTAGAACGGAATCTAAAGTATAAGACAACAGAGGATGAGGAAAAATGGGATTGAAGAAAAAATGTCAATTCAAATAGCATTTCTGAGATGGAAAGAACAAGATTTAATGACTAAGTGGAGGTTATAAGGAAAAGAAATACCTGAATGTTATTTTAAAGTTTCAAGTTCAGGAGACTGAGTAATGACAGCTCTAACCGCATTAGAAGAAAATGGTGACAGATAGTTTGGGGTAAGAAGATGATGATAAGTTCAATTTTAGGCATGCTAAATTTAAGACTTGAAGGATTTGCAGGCATTCATGGATTTAGAGTAAGAGAGATAAAAATATGGTACTGAAATTCAGGAAGAGAAATGCAGGTGGGAATAAAAATAATTTGTAAAACCTCAATAAGCAAACATAATTGCAGCCAGCAGAGGAAGAGGAGCCACAGGCAGCATCTTAAGAACCTGCAGGCAGAGAAGAACTGTGAGGGGGGATTGAAGAGCAACTGTTAGCAAGGTAAGATAAGGAAAGCATTAGAAGTAGTGTAAACTGCTGAAAAAAAAATAGAAAAGGAAAACATAACAACTTGCTCTTATCATACTTTTGGAGTAGGAATAAGATGCTATAGAGATGTGCTTTCCAATTTATATTATGCTCCAGAATAAGCAAGGAGTCATATTAAAAATTTTCATTCCTGGTCATGCTAATTCATTAACTCTGGGGAAAGTCTCAAGTAGAAGTCTACACTTTTATCAATTTCCCTATAATATTTGGAAAGTATGTGGGCTAAAAAACTCACCCTGAAAAATACAAGTATATAAATATAAAAGTCCTTTATACAATAATTATTCTATAAAATTTAATTATAAGTGACATGAATTTAGATAATGTAATATCTCAAGAGTTTAGTTTCTTCATCTGTAAAACAGGATAACATGTTTTATAAAGCTTTTTCTCAAATTCAAAGAAGACAATGTGAGGTGCTTTGCATAGATCTGGCAGCTACATGCTTTCAATGTATGGCAGCTCTTATGTTACACACTTCAACTGATGACTAAAGTTACTAGAAAAAAGGCACAAAACATGAGTTACATTAGGGCTAAAATTTCTGATTCTTCTGAGCAGAGAACTAGCCGTCCCTACTCTGCAGCAGATATCAAGTCACCAGTAGCAATTAAAATGACAGCAATTTGGCTATTTTTCACTTGTTATTATATAATAAATATACTTATAGACATACTATTTTTTAAAGTACAGTTAAAAACATACACCACAGTCTGAAATCCTACCAAAGAGTCACTGTTTCTCTTTTGGTAAATGTCTTATTTATTGCCATTTATATCTATATTTATACATATCTAACTATATCGATATGGACATACTTCTATTTACTATCTGCCTACAGCTTGTTTTTGAACAAAAGTAGATTTATATTATATAGTGTTTTTAATTTTAATATCAGAATGTTCCATGTCCATAAATATGTATCTCCATGATGGTATTCTATTATGTGCACACAATACTATTTTATTTGACATATCACATTAAGTTAGTCATTTTTTCTAGTGTTTTGGTCTAACAAAAAATAACCAAACTTACAAGTTTACATTTCTACACTGTTTATTATCTCCCTAACATAAACAAAACAAGTAAAATATCTCCTCAAAAGGTAAATAGCAGATATGATTATAACAGAAAACATTTCCCATGTTTTGAACATTATTAATTATTTAAAGACATAGGGCAAGTTGACCAATTGCTCCTGAAAACAGTATTTACAAATTATATTCCTTAATTTATATGTCTAAGTTTCTACTGTGATTTTATTTTTCATCATTTA